AAAACAGGACTGCATATGCTAGCGGCACATACTACGTACACAATGGTTTGGGAGGAGCGCCACTCCTCCCTTCTAATGTTTCTCCCTCCTTGCAGTTAATGAACGTCAAGTACCATTTACTGCACTTTGATTATTATTTTTGCGGAAATGCGGTAGACCTTTTAATTTAGGCACGTAGCTCAAATAAAAAATGTATGGAAAACTCTAGCAAAACCGAATGTTTAATCTACATTTACAATTGAAACAACAGCTCGATACATAAATTTTATTCTCACCTACATTTCTCAGTTATATCAGGATCAAGACCGAGGTTATTTCCAAATAAAAATAAACCTTAGTAGGAAACCTGTATACTGATTTTTTGTTGTCTAAAATTTTTTTAATGTTTCAATGACGCCTAGCAACCCTATTCGTAACGATCAAACTACTCATTACATCGTAACAAGTAACTTTATTTGACTTCGTGTTAGGGTTTCGCGTGTTTTAGAGGCATCAACGAGGTGACTAATGCATCGAATGTCCATTAAATAAAAACGTTTTAAAAGCCTGAAAATAAATCAAATTGTAGATATACTTCATGGTTTGCCAGCATCTAACATTTCGCCAATACGAAGTATAGTATTTTAGAAATATAAATATATTTTTGTCAAATAATTATAGGAATAGATATAACAGCAAAACTTTGCTTTTGGTAATTTTATAAAATTCTAATATTGTACTAGGATTGTTTAAAACTACCGAAACCATATAACAACAACAACATAAAAATCTTTCTTTTTATAATGTTGTATTGTCTACTTGTGTATGTCGTGTGTAACTAATTTGTTATGGACGGGATTTTACCACATGTACATTTACAACATAAAACGAGGACATGCGAAGGTAGACTAGACTCCCTATAATCTACAATCAATCTACTGCTATTCAATTTACTCGTGATTATGGCATATTACGATAAATTGCTAGTGCATTTAGTTTGTAGTTGCCTAATCGTTTCTGTGATTTACTGTCCACTGTTATATGCAAATATACCCTTTACTAATAGCAACGTTGTGTTCATATGGTCTAATAAAAGAAATTAGATATTCAGTCGAACGAAGTTCTTGTTGGAACTGTATTTTTACAATGTTTGAAACATACTACCTTTTCACATAATTATTAATTCTGGTAACTTATACATAATATTCTCTATCTATACCATACTCTTCCTAAACGGTTTGACAGATTATTATGAAATTTTATATGCATATTCAGTAGTTCCGAGAATCGACTACTATCAATTTTTCATACCCCTAAGTGAAAAGGGTCCACGCCTAACTTTTTATTTATTTAACAATTTTTTATAATGATGCATTAAAATACATACTACCCTAAGTTTTCACCCTACTGGTGATAGAACCCCTATAATAGCGATATTAGTACCTACATGCTAAAACGTTTACCGGGACACCTAATAGATATGTATATACAAGTCTAACTCTATAGCAACGTAGGATCCTATGAATAGACTTCAGACTAATTTACCGTTAACTACTATTCAATCTATGCATAGTACGAATTTGTGGTGAACGTACGTCGGTGTTATAATTAACACGTGTCCATCACTGCGAATACATTGGAAATTAATCACGCTGCCTTCAGCAGACGTCTATTCAATAGTCCCCTGTACTAATAATCGCCTTGGACGAACAAAGGTGTCAGTAGATCTATAGAATAGCAGTCAGCTGCACCATGCAATCAAGGGCTGATGCATAATATTCGATAGTGGGTGGTAGGTATTTCACTTCAATAATTTGAATCGTGATTCAGTTATCTTAATTTAAATATCAGATAAGACATTAAATAAGCTTAAAGTAATCAATAATTACGTATTTTGAACTGGAATAATAATATTATAATAGTTAAACAATACTTGTTTTTCAGTTTCGATACAGACTTAGCAGTAATTTAAAATAACAGCAATGTAATTTATAAATATAACTTAACTACAATACAAATAAGAACCAAAATTGTTTATAGTTCTATAACAAGGCCAATACCTAATATTATGACTTATAAATAATATATCAACAATAGACATTTGCCTTTCTGGGAATTAATTGGATACTTTCTAAGTAATATAACTAATAAATAAATCATTGTGCTTATTATTATCTACCTGTAGGCGAATAATCTGTTTTTATCACAGCTTTCATACGCAAATATACCTACCTACGTATATTGTGGAGCAGTTATTATTTATTGCTTTCCCTCATATACTTACAAGCTCGCCGGCTTCAATGAATAATATCTTTGTGTGACGTCAGTTATGGCCGTGAAAAACAACCACATTTACAGCTCGAGAAGGTTGAAAATACTAAAACAGATGTCGCTGTTTCCATCGCTGTTGACACCCAGGACTCGTAATTAGCAACTGAGGTTATCAATAATTGCCAAGGAACTCGATAGAATATTATTATATTTGTCAAAGTGGAATAATTATTGTCATATTAGGTATTCTATCAACATAATTATTTGTATAGTTTATAATACATGTTACAATGGAGCACTGATATCTATAGCACAGGTGTAGTACCTAGTTTAGGTTATCAGGGTCCTCATTTAGTATTGCGCAACTTTCTACCATTTGATTGTTCAGCTAACTAACCTCAACTATTATGTACTGCTCCTTTTTAATGTTGGTAAACTTGTGGTGGTACAAATCAGCATGATTGTTATTAATTATTGGTATAACTGATCTTATGTAATTCAGCATTCCGTAGGAACATAGGTGTGCGAACATAGGTAGTATGTGTGAGTCACTTCTCGGAAAAGTTGGAATCCGATAATTTGAGCAGGAATCTAACACGATCTCTCATAGCAGACGTTTGTATGATGTATAGAGTGCGGCTTTAACTATGGCGGAGTTCTGCATTTCTCTTGTATCGAACAAATATTTACGTATTATCCCACTACGTTGTAAGCAATAGAGTTGAAAATACAAGTTAAATATCACAAATTGCAGATTGCTATTCATGAAATCTGTCTTGTCCTTTTTAGCTCCGTAGCAGTAGTAATCAGTATATAGGTATTTTAATCTCACAAATGGCAAGTCACGAAACAATAGTGGTCATTGTATCTATAGATGACGATCCTCGCTTTCCGTAGTCAGTCGGTGAGCTTGTTTGCATCAAATTTCTTTTATCATTTCTATAGGCTACAGTTATGCCATTTACTTCGCATTCGGTATATATATACATATAATTACGACATTACTATGTATGCACAATACCATATTAGCGTCATCGATCCATAATTTATTATGAAATGTATAATGTATTCAATAATAATCATTCGATGTCAATAAATCCCGTTACCTACCTACCTGCCTTGTGTTTCAACGCTGATTCCGGCGACATTTTTAAACATTGACTCATTTTCAACTTTCGACCATTTCTATTAGTGTATGTGTGTGTGTGTGTGTTACAACTTAGAAGATAGAACGCACCGTTATGTGTCATAGTACTGAATACCAAGAATGTGACTATGAATGATACAGAGATCATGGTATACTTTTGAAACGTTCGAATACAAATATTTAAACTTGAGATGTCTTATATATATTATCTGTTACTGTGCCCAATATTTTCAAAAACACGTGTTAGTTATTATATAACAATTAATTAGTATATGTTAGTTATGACAGATTTATTATTTTACATTAACGTTATTTTCTTTAATATGGTGTTTTTGGGGTGCAAATCTTAATCTTAATAAGACCCAACTTGACATACGCAATAAATACTATCTGATGTGAAAAAAATATATCGTATGAACTAGATTAATACACGTTGTGGTCAACGAGTTAGAAGTGTACAGTTTTGCAAAGTTTGTTATTAATGTTTCGTTGCTTATGAAGAAGAAAAGTGTATAATTGTAAAACGTATTATGCAGAACTACACTGTAATTACAGATGTATGAACTAATGAACAAGAATTCTCAGCACTGGATATAAAAAATAAGCCAACATACGATTTTACAGCAAACCATGCATTTATATGATTGTGTGGTTAATGTGATTGTTGCTATTTCCATCATTGTTTTAGCATGTTACATTTTCAGGCCGGATAGACATTCAATGTGGCCCTGCCATCAAAGTTGGTTTGTCATAGATCATGACGCAGCTATCACAGCCAGCTTTGATGAGCATGGCCTCATTAGTAACAGCACACTAGTCTCGTACCAAATCCGCAGTGTGACAGAACAGGAGATGAGCCGTGCGATTCTCGGGCCTAGCCTGTCAAAGCGGTGGTGAAATGTATATCCGTCATCATATCACAGCCACTTTGATGTGGTCGGTTTACGGAGATGAGCGCTACCTAATACGACTACGGCGGCTGGACAAGTCCGTGGCCCATTCGTAAAAATGGTTGTGCCATGTCGCTTCATCATATCACAGCCATTTTTGACGAGTTGGGCTGTGAGATGTCACTACGTAGACTAAAAGAGGCGGAACTGCGACTGTTTCTGGAGTGTTTTGTAGCTCACAAAGTGGTTGTCATATGTGTACTATGGTCATATCACAGCCAGCTTTGATGAGCGACAAGACAGCACCGACACCACATCGCCTTATTTATGTTTTGTATTTGCAGACTTTGGCGGAATTGGCAGCTGTGAGCCGGCAAAGTGGTTGTGACGTGATACTTTCCATTGAACATATCACAGCCAGCTTTGTTGACTTTACTGTTGCTAAATTACATCTGGAAGAATCGCAAGATATTTTTTATTATTAAAATATTTCTGTACCTTTTATCTTTGTTGAATGTATAACTAGTTTAGTATTGTAATTGTTTTTATCTTTAGTGTTTTTTTGTGTAACTACTTATTACTACTAACTTATAATAACTTTTAAATTGTAATTGTTCTAAATATAAATTGTTTTGTATACATATATCGTTTTCATGTGCAGTTATACCAACAACATTAAATTTGATTGTAACTTGTTTTTTTTTGTCTTTCAGGTTCCTACCAGATATCAAGCTTCTGGTTTACCTATCAACGTGTAGCATCTATGTTATATTGTTTATGCTAGTTTAAATATAAATGTATCTTCTATTTATTTGTTGACTCGGAAAATCTAAATAGGTACTTACAGATTTGTGATATATGTTAATAAATTTTGTACCCACACTAAGTTGTTTGTATATTATTTTGTAACCTTCCATAAAACCACTAATTAAAACATTCAAAAAGTTATGCAGCACTAGTAGACAGGCTGCACACAACCTTCCAATTAAATCTACTCCACATGAGATAATCGAAGTAATCACACATTACTTTACATTTTTTTTTGGACGATAAACACATAAGAGCATGAATAGAATAGAATAGAAAATAATTTATTCAAATAAACTTAATTTAAGCACTTTTGAATAGTCAACATTTTTTTTAATCTACCGCTTATTCGAAAAGTTGTCTCATCACAAGAAGAATAAGCAAGAAACTTGTGTGTTGCTCTTTTAAACAATCCTTGTGAATTTACAAGTCGAAACATGTGAATACAAACTACCATGTATTTCTAAATCCTACTAATTTTAAACACGTGAGACTTGGATAAATGTATGGACTGGTATTTGTTGCTATTTGAAATATATATATATTTAAAAATAATTGAAAGGATTTTAATTAAACTACAGTATTATAAGTTCTACAACAGAACAACGTAGGCTAAAAATTGAAAGGATGTGTAAATTGGACGAAATGTAATAAGTATCAAGTTATAGGTACACTAATATAATAAGAAATAATAAGTCGTGGAGATAATATATATATTTAATTTGAATGGGTACTATACTAACAATGTGTAAAATACAGTATTTAATTACAATTACTAAAGTACTATAAATATTACTAATTTACAATATAGACGACGAAAAACACGTCATTCAAAACCGAGCAGTTTGTTTGGCAGCTAGCATCAATTTTATAAGTTACAACGTGATCATAACTAAATTGTAATGCGTAAAAACATGATTAATATAAAGATATACATATTAGTTAACACTTAGGCGATAACATAATAGTACAAATTATTAATAAGTATTGAAACTTTATAATATTAATTAGAATAAAGTTTCAATTCAATCTTATAATTCAAAAAATTCAATCTTCTAATAATAGTAATATAATATAATATCTCAGGACAATTTACACAACGCCATCTAACCCTAGGCTAAGCAGAGCTTGTGTTATGGGTACTAGACAACCGATATAAATTCATGGATACATTTTTTTTTGTAAATAAGTACATATTATACATAGAAAACACCCAGACCGATACAAACAATCATACTCATGAATACAAATGTTTGTAACCGTGCGAGGAATCGAACCCACGACCATCGGATAATAAAGCGGTGTGCTAAACCACTAGACCACCGAGGCTATAGAATAATAGGTACAAATTCAAAAGAGAATCCTTTTGCATCCAATGGTCTTTAGTTAAGTCTTGATTATTATGCGTCGAGTGGTCGAATTATCAAAAGCATATTATTTAAAACGAGATATTATATCCCAACAGTTTTATATAATACGAAAATGGTACTCTAAAAATAGGTGTGCTTGAAAATGTTGAACCGTATATGTCGTGCATATTCATGAAAATAAAAACATATTTTTTATGTGACACAAAATATTTGCGAACTCTGCAGTTCACTCTCCCGTGATGGGCGGTGCTATATAGGAGAATTTAAATTTTAAAACACGACACCATCTGTAAAATCAAACTACAAACTCACATGCCAGAGGAGTTTTTAACTGCTGAACGTTCTGATGAAAAACTTTGTTGTCATATGAGTGCATTTAGCACTCATATGACAAAAAAGTTTTGCTTTGCTCGACGTTCTGAACAAAATGTAAAAAATTGCACCCCAATTGTAGAATTGCAAAACTCTCTTGAAGTTGAAGAAACAAAGGTCGCGTATGTACCTTTTTAGGATTCATAAGGCACCCAATTCAATACTCATGTATTATACAGAAACATCATAATCGGACCACTATAGAATGCGTGGTTGTTCATCCGGCCAGCGTCCGTTTGGGTCATTGTCAATGCTAATTTATAAACGAGTGCAAGCGTAGTGCTTGTTGCAAGTATAACCAGATATTTTATTCATGACGGCCATTTCTACAGCCATCGCACTCGTTTTTATTCAACACCTCACGCCTAATGTCTGAATATTATAAGATCCAGCGAGACAGGGATACCCATGCAGACAATATGGTATAAAATGTGTCTCGTTTCATCCATCCGACCACCGGCTTGATTTATTAGTAGTTTTTCGCTTATAAGCTAGAAAATTGATAGTGAAATGACGATACGGAAGCAATTTGTCGACGGTAAGAATAACACGAGTGGCACGTGTCGAATACGTTCATGTCTATATCTATAGGTGATAGTTATTATAGCATACAGATACCGAGTTAGATATTTCAAGGCAATACTTGAAATTTAAATTAATTATGGCTAGTAAGACAAACTAAATATTGTCTAAAGCATTGCCGTGTCTAAACTGTCACCCCACCTTACATTTTATTGTTGATATTTAGTATATAAGATCAATATATTCACTCCTTAAATCCTCATTGCTGGTTGGCACTATTTTTTTTTATTAAATATTTATATTTTTACGATCATAATTGTTTTTTTCATAATTTTGTCGACCGTAAGCATTATTTCGTATAATGCTTACGGTCGACAAAGTTTGTTCTCCATATAATATTATATTACAATATCTTATACTAAACCTTTGATTACCATGATTGTTGGATGCACAGACCCCATCGTACTACACACCCATAGTGCCATTCTGGCATGCAAAGAAATTATATACAGAGAAATAGCAATAGGATCGTACTTTAACAATTGCTTAAGATATCTTTGACGTGGATTTCCAGTACTAAATGTTGTCAACATTTAGTACTGGAAATCCTGGAATGGGACTTAGAAGATACAGGTAAGTGGATGGTTTGTATGAATTAACAAAATTAACATTCTGTTTAAAATTGCACATAGTAATTATAAAGTACGTAAACCACACGTAAGGACACACCCAATATTTCTTGTTATCGAGGGTAGAATTATAGTTGTCACTATAGTTCCATTCCTAGAATTTTACATAACCCTAACTATAGGTTGTATATAACTTCGACTAGCTTATGATGTTTTAATGCCGTTATGACCCATATTTTCAATGAATGTATGTTGAATAAAGCATTTGCTTACGACTGTTTTAGCCTACAAATACCGCGCTGTTAAATTATCATATTTCAATTATTACAGACTGTTATAATATGTCAAATCTACCGTCAGTTCGGAGTGTTTTCCGAGCTGGGAAGAACTGATAAGAAACTCAGCTCTTATTCTTTTCAAATGAGCTTGTAGGTACAAGTTTACATAAAGACAGATTCATTTTTAAATTCAAATTAGGAGTATGTGTATAAAATTATTGATGTACTTTTCTTATTTCCTACTCTTGCGATAGTGATGGTATCCTTCATATATCTATGTAATATAGTATGTACTTATCACAGGCCTTCAACTGATATCCTAGGGAACGAAATGAAAGAATGAGATATGCATTTTTCCTACCTTACTGCATGGTACTGTTATGTACTAAATAATGGTAATCATATTTACAAGCTCACAAGGATTTGGCTATTTTCCAAAATTTACGACTAATTAATCATATTATAGCAACGTAACACAGTTATTTAACTAGCACGGAAGGTAATGATTTTTTAACTGTACCCTCAAAAAGTATAATTCATGTGATTAATTTTGATTGAAATAAAATATTGTTATAATTACACTTTTAAATATTTCTCAGGAATAAGAGTAGGTGGATATACATATGTTCGTTTGATTACGGCTCACCTGATGGTAAGTGTTGATCGTGATCACAATATCATCTATTGTACTTGTAATATGATTATTATGAAGATTGCTTTTAGCAATAAGGCCGCCTTCCTGTGACGATACGTATCCTTTGTTACATTGTTTGTCATTCTAAAGTATTTAATATTTAAAGTATATTCTATCTATCTATCACATGATGCCCGTGGTACCACTCACGCATTACCATTCCGCACTATACTAGCCTATGTCACCATACCCTGTTATTTCGCTGTACTACAAATACACATAATATGTTGAATGAACATAGAGGTTAATATACATAATTGTATTTGAGTAATAAATTCTGTCATTGTTAAAAAATATATTGATAGATTAAAAGTTACGTTTAACATCATGTTCGTATTTTATTAAAAATATCCATTGAAATCTAGGTCATTTCACTCGGAATATCTCCCAATTCAACATAATACACACCCTTAAACACATCTTACTTTGGCGGTTAAAGTATTTACATGCATACGACTTTAAACCAAAGTATACCTCAGTAATATGAGTGTAGTGGAGGGAAGGCGATTGTAACGAATGGCAACTAGCGACCTCATTGCTAACAATGTTCCATATCAGATCCTCCACGTTGTCTCCCTCGAAACCATCGTCGTCGTCTAGCATTCTCCACTGGTGCCCTGACAGCGAATAACGTTAGCGTGGCTGCAGCATACCATTAACACTGCTCGTTATCGACATCATCCCCACATGTTAGAACCTAAGCGGTCTCGGACAATGCGGTTTCAGAGGAGCTTCCTCCTGCGTACATTTCATGAACTACCTGCTGCGATTTTCTCACGAGACTACAGCATGAGGTTTTCAAGAAGGATAAGGTTTCTGAAGGATCCGTAACATGCAAGTAACACCCCTGGTGTCTCAGGTAATCATAGACTACCGTTACCATTTATCATCAGATGGGCCGTATGCTTCCGCCACCGTAATAGTATAAAAAAATCATTAAAAAATGTAGTCACAATATATATATCTATATTTATTTAAATATATTTAGCCAATTTGGTGTTTCACTAACATGTTGTTACCAACGATGTATATGAAAATACTAGCTGTGCCCGCGGTTTCCTCCGCGTTAAATTTCAATATAAAATATAGCATATGTATTATTCTGACGCATAAGCTATATTACTGTAAAGTTTCATCAAAATCCGTTCAGTAGTTTTAGAGTGAAAGAGTAAAAAGCTTACAAACTTCCGCGTTTACAATATTAT